ACTTTCTCTCATTTTTTCGGTTGCCTCGGTCAAGTCGATCGGGTAAACATGATGACTTCCAGGCGTGAACTCGGCCACGAGGTCTGCCAAAGCTTGGACCTTTATTGCGGTTCTTGGTTGAAACTTAATGTCGAACTACCCCAACTCCACTGCCTACTTCAAAATTTGTCCAGAAAAATCCACCCTCTCAAACAAGGCTTTTAAGGGGAAAGCCGTTAAGACAATCACGGTGTGGGCATGGAAGTAATGCGACAATTTTCTTGAGGCCATCATCAAAGTTAAGGCCAACTTTTCTAATGGCAAGTATCTTGTTTCAGCGCCCAGCAATGTCTTGCTGACATAAAAGATAGACAGGTGTTGTATTCCCTCTGCTCTTATTAACACTACGCTCACTGCATGCTAGGAAACTACTAAGCACGAAAAGAGCTCCTCTCTTGGTACTGGGGTCACTAACAATGGAGGAGAGGTCATATAGTCTTTCAAGCTTTCCAGGGCGCGGTTGCACTCATCATTCCACTCAAACTTGGCCTTCAGTGCTTGGAAGAACGGTCGATACTTGTCTGATGATCGACTTATAAATCGGTTTAGTGCGGCTGCTAGGCCAGTGAGATGCTGCACCTCCTTGACGGTGATGGGCCTTTCAAGATCTTAGATGGCTTTGATTTGAGAGGGATCAACTTCTATACCTCGGTTGGTCACTAGAAAGCTTAGAAATTTACCTGACCCCATGCCAAATGCGCACTTAGATGTGTTCAGTCGCAACTTGTGGAACTTCAAAATTTGAAGCATCTCATTTAGGTCTTTGAGATGGTCCCCCTCATCTCTGCTTTTGACCACCATATCATTTATGTAAGCCTCCATTGTTCTGCCTAACAAAGGTTCGAACATTTTGGTGATCATCTGTTGGAATGTAGCCCCTGCATTTTTTAGGCAAAAGGGCATGACCTTGTAGCAATATAGTCCTCTGGGTGTTGTAAACGACGTGACCTCCTAATCCGGCTCATACATAGTGATCTGATGGTAACCGCGATACGCATCAAGAAAGCTAAGTCGGTTATGTCCTGCTGTTAGGTCCACTAGTTGGTCTATTCGTGGTAGGGAAAAACTGTCTTTTAGGCATGCTTTGTTAACTATTTTGTAGTCCACGCAAACGCGCCATTTTTCGTTCTTTTTTGGCACCACTACAGTGTTAGAAATCCACCTGGGATAGTGTACTTCTTTGATTGCCCTACTTCAACAAGTTTCCCATTTCTTCGGCCACTATCTTTGCGTGGTGGAGTGTCGATCGGCGAGTTCACTGTATAATTGGTCGGGCGGTTGGATGAACATTAAGTTGATGGTATATGAAATTGGGGTCAATGCCAGACATGTCATACGGCGTCCAGACGAACACTTCAATGTAAGAGGTAAAAAATTCCATGATTTGTATTCTCTTGGTGTTGGACAGAGACGAACCGAGCAAAAAGAACTTTTCTAGGTTCTTTTCATCTATCCTTACCTCTACCACATCTTCCACTGTCTTCTATTCAGCTGCTTTGCCAACGTCTACGAACAGTTCGCTTCTCTCTGGTTCTTTTACCATCTGTACAAACCCCTTTGCAGCTCGGCTGCCGTTTACTGTAACGAATCACTATTTCGACATGATTTGGTCCTCTAAGACTTCTTCAATCATTCCAATTTCGTTGGGGAACCGTAGCATCTAATGGTAGGCTAATGCCACTAATCGCATGGCATGCAACCATGCTCTTTCTAAGATTATGTTGTAAGTGGAAGGGACCTTCAATACCCAAAATTCCACCTATTTCGTCATTGTTCCTGCCTTGACTAGCAGAATTATCTTGCCTACCAACCATTCTGGCATTGAGTTGAAGCCGACTAAGGGAGATGTTGCGGGTGCCAAGTCTTTGTCCTCCAATTTTAGTTGCTTGAAGGTCTCGTAATATATTATCTCGTAGGAGCTCCCTTGGTCAATTAGGATCCACTTGATGTCGAAGTTTTTGACGTGCAAAGTAACTACCAACGCGTCATTGTGAGGGCATTGTAACCTTGCTAAGTCCCTATCAGAAAAGGAGATGACATTCATTGCTTCTGTTTTTCTCCTCTTGACTTTATGTTGTGCACTTAGCACCTCTCTCAAGTGCTCATCCTTTTTGATCATCCCTCTGAGCTCACATACCCATTCAGATTCGATGATCCCATGTATTACGTTGATTTTGCCTTGGGGTAGACTGTCGATCGGCATCCCATCTAGCCTATTGCGGTCCTGGGGGGCCGGCTGTGTTCCCCCCTCTATATATTGGTCCAAGTGGCCAGCGGCCACTAACTCCTGCAGATGTTGCCTTAATGGCATACCATTTTCAGTTCGCAGTTCGGTGCCCCTTTTCATCATGGAAGGTGCAACGGTACCTCTCATCGTAGCCCCTTTGCGTTTCTCCCAACTTGGCTGGCCGCCGAACAAAGGGTTCATCGCGTGTCTCGCTAAGAATCTAGTAGATAGGTTTATTGAATACCGTGGTGATGGTAGTGTGGACTCTCAACTTCCTTGCTTGGGGGTCCTCCCTGTTGGCTCGTCTGCCTCGCCCTTTTTTGCTTGGTTGTTTAACCGTGTTGACTTTTGCTGCAGTCTTTCTATCTAGTATCGCTGTTGTGCCAGATTTTGTTTTAGTGCGGGCGCTATCTTCTTCTACCTGGATGTGCTGATGTACTCTTTCTATTAGGGCCTCCATTGTGAGGAGTGGCATCATCGTCATTGAATCCCTTAACTTGTTACCTGCTGGTAAACCCCGTTTATACTGTGCGATGGCAAGGTTTATGGGGCAATCCCCAATCTGATTGAAAGTCTCCGAATATCAATTATTGTAAGACTTCAATATTTCCTTCTCGCCCATGTCAATGGAGAGTAGCTGGTCAATCTCTACTGGCATCTTGGTGTTTGTTCTGAATCTGGTCACAAATGCCTCTGCCAACTGCGCCCATGAAGCTATGCTACCTTCTGGCAACCTCTCAAACCATGCTAGATCCAATTCACCAAGGTTAGAAGGAAATAAATACACATTAAGGCTTCATTTCGTTGATACACGGCCATAACTTGGTGAAAGTGGCTTAAGTGCATGTTCCCCTCATAAGTAGTGAATTTGGGCTGGTGGAAGCCTGAGGTAACGATGCGTTCTCAATTACCGGAACGAACGGTGAGCTCTGCAACTTTGCTAACACTTTATCTGCTAGTTCATAAGCAAGGCATGGTATTGGCATCCCTACCTCGACGCTCCCATGTGTCCTAGGAGCCAATCGCTGTAGAGCTGAAACTCTACGAGGGTTGCGAGCCTGGGTGTCCTCCCTCCATCGGGCCCTCTCCTCTAGCACAGTACGCAGGTCTGCCGACCTAGGCAACTCCGTGTGCCTAGATGTCGTTTGGTGCGTGTGTGAGGGTCGATAACTGCTTCCCTCCGTATACGACCTCTCAGTCCTTATTCTCTCAGACCTGGAGTAACGAGTCCTAGAGGTTCGTGATTGTGTATCGCCTGTCCTTAGGCTTCTACTCTCTGTCTGAGACGGTGTGACTTGCCTGTCACGATCTTTTGAGTGGCGAGGGTGCGCCTTGCTCTTGCCCACCTCTTCTTCCGCCGGTCATTTGCCATTTTTCTGGCCCTTCATAGTCTCCATGTCTGCCGCCATCCTCCTTATCAATTCATCCTACTCTCTTACGTGATCCTCCAGAACCTGAGGATCCATCATTCGACTTTGTCTGTCAGGGCTTTGAGAGTGACGCGGACTTGAGCCCCGTCTATCGCGTGTGTTTCTCTGTGAGTTCTGCCTCTGGGGATCCAATTCTTCCATGGGCGGAACAAAAGGTAGACCTTCGTGTCTCCCGCCCCCTTCTGGGGTTTGTCCATCAATGGTAGAATGTTTTAAATCTTCATTGTGCGCCATTGAACGTAGTGGAAGGAGAAACTTTAATCAAAAGGTTTGTTTTTCGCGTATTTCCCACAGATGGCTCCAATTGTACGAGGACGAAATAATTCTCTCATATAATCCTGTTGATCAAGTTTACACTCCTCCAAATGTTGCCACTTTACTACCTGAAAACATAAACGTGAGCTAGCCGGCGGGTGTATGCCGGAAACCTCTCCGATGCTTAAGTCAGCAAATAGACAATAGACACAAAAGCTTTGTGTATTCTAGAGTAAAATTTGTGATACCTGTACATAGGTCCTGTATGAGCTTTTCTAGATGCTGCCTGGCACAATCCTAGTAGGATTCCAACTCTTCTCAGCAGAGTCCTCCTAGCAATCACACTCCCAAAGATAATACCTATCTTGATAACACCCTATACACTACCAACCAAGTGAGATGGCTTCAACCTCCTTACCTCGGTTTGGTAACAGCTCAACCAAGCTAGCATGGTTATGCCCTACGCCTGACTTAACCGTACTCATACAGCTCGGTGCTTCTTTAGGCAACACAACAAGTCTTTACTGTTTAGACGACACCCTGTAGAGCTATCATATACCTCGGTCCTCCTTCCAATGATACCTCGGTCCAAGACAGCCAGACCAGGCCACTGGTAGCTTGTCTCTGACGAAACTGTCGGGATAAAAGACCAAGCTTCATTACCTTGGCCCGTAGTTCAGCCCAACATCTAGGAGATTGTACTTAGCTCGGTCCATTTCAATAGTTGCACTTAGCTCAGCCCAATTTACACATAAATTACCCTCTCAATTGGTTAAAGTTCACTTCCACCATAAAAAAGAACAAAAGGTCGGTGGTGGGTAGTTAAATTATGCATATGTAGAAATATTATCCAGTTATTCGGGCAAAAATCAATCACTGAATCAGACACTATCGTGTCTCATGGGTGTGAATCCACTTCATGTGAGATAGTTGTAATCAGATCATTAATCAACTTTTGTGTTCGTAGACATTTTCAATAATATCAACATATACGTGTACATGTAGGATCAAAATAGAAGAGAGTTTTGAGGGCATGAATTAATTCTTACAGTCACTGTAGCAGGGGAAGGCAGTGATGTTGAGAAGATTAGAGTAACCAGGGTTGCATTGGCAAGTTTGCGTCATTGTTTTGTTCTTCGTGCATGTTCCTTCGCCACAATGGACCCAATAACAAGCTACAAAACCCATAATCATATTATTAATATTAATTAAGGTAACCAGATTATATCCAGAAATAAAGGAAAAATTAAATGATATTGATGGTAAGAGTAGAGAGGGTATAGTGTGAGTAAGGATGATTACGATCAAATACAGATGAATTTAATGGAACGGATGGAGCTGGAGGAGCTGCTGGCATGCACGAGTAGTCAAGAGAACCTGCAACCACCAACCAAAATCAAACTATTATTAATTCCATCACTAAACTGCACAAAAATTTTTGTATGTACATAAACACAGCAACTACTGTTTGATTAAAATTAATTTATAAGATGAATTTATAATATGTTTTGGCAGATTGCTGAAATGTTGTGTTGTTGTTGTTGTTGTTGTTGTTGTGACTGTTATGCATTTTCTACTATTTTTATTTTGTTTAAGCCAAGTCAATAGTAATATTATGTTTGAGTTTTGATTTTGTAAAAGATTTACAGAGACGAAAAAGAAAATAGAAATTGAAAAAAAAATTCAATTTCTGCTTAATTTTTTTATCCTTTATTCACTATTTTTATTTTTATTTTTTCGTCAAAATTCAAATACAACCTAAAGTAACTTGATAGTTGAGAGTTTGAAAACTTTTTAGATAGATATTGTATTTGTTTATAAGAGAATTATGAGAGGAAAAGAAAAGAGTATAGGAAAATGAAGAAAGAGAAGAGAAGAGAGGGTAAATTACAATTAGGAATAACGCAGGGAAGAAACAGAAGATCCTGTTCACTGTCAAGACGGGTATGCTTCCAACCATTTTCACATTCGCATTTGAAGCCGAATGGCCTGTCAAGTGCTACACTGCAATTTCCTTTTCCACATTCCACTTCTTTGCATATATTGTCTGTGTATACACATGCATTCACATTCATGGGAGAGAGATTATATTATTATTTTGAAAAATGTTAAGGGCTTCAATATTTTATTAAAGGTTTTATCAAATGTCTTACATAAGTGTGACCGTGTAAGACATTTGATATAATATTTGATAAAATATTTGGTGTGAATCCCACACCCTGTGACTATTATTTTTTATTATCAAACATGCCCTTAGAGATTTAAAGTAGTGTGTTGAAATGAGATACCTACTTCTTGCCTTTTAAGTATTATAAAAAAAAAAAAAACAAAAATCTTGGCATGCAATAATAATCGGTCCATGTAAATGAAGGTAGACATTTTAGTTCCCATTTAATAAAAGGGTGATGTTATTTAAGTTAAAAATTAGACTAACTTTTTGAACTCAATTATGTGATAGTCTATTAACATATCTAAGACAACTTTTTCTCATATCTTCTCTAATTATCAACAAATTATCTTACTTATATTGAGTTTAGAAAAGTAAGTTTAAAAAAAATAGATTTATGTATCATTTTCGTAATTAAACTGTGAATTTTATTAATTTCAACAACTATAAAGAGACACCTAACAGCTTACTAAAATATGTTTTAATATTAAATATATTAATGACTTTTCTTAGTCCAGCCTAATGATTCAAAAACCTGGGGCTATCAAGTATACCACAAACGGCTTTCATATGCAATCGACATCTTCATTTTATAATTAACAATTTGTGAAAAATTCACATTGATAAATTCATATTTAAATAAAAAAAATTTATTATTATAATGTTTACTTATAGATTTTTTTTTTGATCAACAAAATAAAAAGAACTTTATTGATGAAACAAAAGACTATTACATCAATAAAAGAAAAAGAGGATGGGTGCAAAAAGCATCACGACGACTCAAATCAATCCCAACTAGGTTGGCACCCATAAGACCATCCAATCATATGTTAGCACACCATCAAGTGTGGGTGAGGAACCAACCCAAAACACCAAAACTAACCTCACCCAAGTACAGAACCAAGAAGACTAATACAACAGTGCAACCCAACCTACCAACCAACAAGAAACCAGGACAACAACTAAAAACACCAATCTGCAGCAGCCACTCCAACAGATCATTACCCACACATATCAGCAACATACCATATCAGCAACAATCCATAGCAGCAGCAAAAAAGGCTTGAACACTTCCATTACCAGCAAAACAATACAATTTGACAGCACCAGAGTAGATTCTTGGACACTTCTGTTTTATCTGATTGTATTTCAACTTCAACCATGGTTACCATCAGATAAAACAACCGCTGTTCATTATCCAATTTATTAATTGCATGCTCTTTCAAATCTCTCCAGTTGTGAATCAAGTACTATGCAGATCAGCCACCAACACCTAGCCATTTCAGATACAAAACCTGACTTGACTCAGATTTTCCACAATCTGATGCACAGAGAGTACTGGACAGAAGGCATGGAGGACTTAACCCACAACCCAACATGCACTTTCACAACCTCACACAGCTCATTCATATCTGGTTGCTTGCCATTAAACACAACCTCATTTCTTAGCCTCCAAGTGGACCACAACATCACTATAGGTACTAGCAGCCAGATTTTCTTTACAGCTTTTTTGTGCTTAGTTCCCAACCACCAAGATAGCACTCCATCCACAGTAGGAGGGGATACCCAGCAGAGATTCCACCATTGTAACAAACATCCCCAAACCTTCCAAATCTGAAAACACTGCACAAAAAGATGATCCACAGATTCCACAGTAGCTGAACAGAAAGGGGAATCAGTCACAGAAGTATGACCCAACACTCCAAGCCTCTGCAGAACAGCAGCTGTTTTGATTCTACCTCTCCAAGCCAACCAACTTATAAATTGTGCTTTGGGTGGAGCTTCATTAAACCAAATCATCCTAGGAACAAGTAACCTAGGTCCAGACCTTAACAAAAGCCAATTTCTCACAAATAGCACTGTAAACTCACTAGAGGGGGATGCAGCCCACCTTACTACATCTTGCAGATCCACATTCAGCCTAGGAACATCCCTTATCAACAATTGCATCTTCTTCACCTCCTCTTCCTCCCAAGCAAATAATGACCTTCTAAATTGAAGCCTCCAATCACCCGTACTGTCCCTCCTCTGCATAAAGGAACTCAGCAGTCCATCTTTATCCATGGAGAGCCTAAACAATCTGGTAAACTCTACTTTCAACTGTAAATCCTTGAACCATCTATCATGCCAAAACTGAATCCTACACCCATTCCCAACCACAATCTTGCACTGTGACACAAAGAACTGAAATAGCTCCGGATTAGATCTTTCCACCACTACAAGAAAACCTGGCAAATAACATGGAGGTTTTTGCGATGGGGTAATTGCCGTCGCAAAAAATGGTCTTTTTGCAACGGCGTGTATCTGCCGTCGAGAAAAATGGACTTTTGCGACGGGGCTGACCTCTGTCGCTAATGATTGTAAAAGAAAAATGCAGGAACATTTGCGATGCACGGTATACTGTCGCAAATAGTATTATTTAGCGATGGTAAGAAGTTGCCGTCGCAAATGGTGGACCATCTGTGATGGCAGAAGCCCATCGCAAAAAACTATGGGTAAAACGACGTCGTTTTTATTTGTTAATTATGTATCATTTGCGACAGTTGAAATATGTCATCGCAAAAAAATAAATTTTTGATATCCCGCTATTTCTATCCTATTCGTGGTCAAAGTCCCTAAAATCCCCAAAATCCTCAAATCAAAATCCATCTGAAACCAAAATCCCTAAAATCACCAAAATCCTAACCTAATGTACTGTTGCCCAATCCATTGATCCAACTATTAGAACCAAAATCCCCAAAATCCTCAACTCAAAATCATTCAGCATTGCCGGAGTGAAGGAGGGTGAACGACAGACTTCGCAGAGTGATGAGGGTGAACGATGGCCTTCGCCGGAGTGACGAGCAGCAGCGACTGTGAACGACGAGTGATGAGGCAAGACAGAGCATCAACGTTTCAGAATTTTTATCAATCAGGTGAACATTTTAAGGGTGAGTTCCACCACCTTCAATCCTTTCCAGATCCTTGCTTATTGGGCTGCAAGCATTGGACATTTACGTACTTGTTGAATAGAGAAAATAATTAAATTCCAACAAAGTAGGATATTGATTTTGAATTGAATTTCTCCAAAATTTTTAAAATGGTATCAAAGTTATATCTTGGTTGGTCTCTACAATCAATTCTTTGTTCCCGATCTATTTTTTCCGTCTCAGTCATCCCTCTATCACTTCTGCATGCAATTAGGTTGCGTCTGTAATAAATATAAAGTGTTAGAGCCTATCTCGTTTATATAAGCTATCCAAACTTGATAAATAGTCTACAAGTTTTGTCACTCAACCCTAATTGATTTTGAGTTGAATATTATCAACATTCTAATGTAGTATCAGAGTTGATTCTTGGATGGCTTCTTGGGGTATTTCTACATTTATATCTCACTCATCTTTTTTTAATCTCTCTATAATCTCCACGGGTGATTGGACCACATGCATGAAAGATTTAGCCAACGTCTCTCTAAGACACATAAATTTGGTCTATACAGTTAGGGTTTGATGTCTAAAAAATTTAATATGTCATTAGAGTTGGATCTTGAGTAATTTCTTGAGCCAAGTCTTCACGCATGTTGTGTTTCCCTCACTTTATATATAAAATACTTTGTTATTATTTTCATTCATATTCACTAGTCTCTCCACTTAAACTCAATTTACAGCAAAAGTTCAATTTTTTCCGATGTACCTATATATATATATATATTTATAGGAAGCAATTGAATGATTTAAAAAAAATGTAAGAGGAAAAAAAACCTAGGTACCATTCTTTTGTCTCCAGGGAAGATATTCACAGAGCTAGGTTAAAAAGGACATTCTTGCTTGGTGCCTAAGTTAAAGTTGTTAATTTGATAAAAGAGATTCACATCGGACGCCACTCTCTCCCTCGCTACTAATTTGATAAAGATATTTTGTCTATTTTTTTTTTTATCATAACATATAAAGATATTAGAGTTCGCATTTTTAAACACATGTACGATGCACACCTTTGTATTCAATGATAAAAAAAATAAGTGAAAAAATTATTTATAAATAGTATTTTTCATAAGCTACACTATGGTTTGTCTTGAGGCAAGTGGTTAATTCAATCAATAGAATAAAAATGAGAGACATCTCATTGTGAATACAAAGCAAATTACAACCCCAGACTTGTATTCCAAATTGCCACAAACTAGATACATATACATACACCTTCCATATAAGAAATAAAAGTTTTTTTTTCTTCTTTTCCTTTCATAAATCCCTACTCAAATTCAAGATCCAACACAGCCTAAAGGTGAACTCGCTGCCAAACCACAACCACAACAAAAGAAAAGAACTTATTAAAGCCATATCTATATAACAGCACATAAGTGGTACCAGTTCACAAATTTACAACTAGTAGGTTTAGCTGCCAAACATAGGTATTTTCTCTTGTTCTATAGCAGAGTAAAAGTGAGGCATCATCAATACACTTTTTTTTAACATAATAGGCAGTATTAATTTTAATATTTTTAACACAACAGAAAGGTAACACATTCAGGAGTGATCTTATTTCATCTGGTTCAAATAAAACTTTCCTTCTCTGTTCTTATTTACTAGTACGTTAAACTTCTCTTCCTTTGTTCCCCTCCTAAGCTTCAGAAGCATAGCAAATTTGGTATAATTTTCAATTACCTGCATTGAACAGGAGAAAATTTGTCAATGTCATATCATCAATTTTTGTTGTCCTTGAAGAATTCGATAAAATGTGTCAATGGCAAGTACTATGATTTTGTTTGTGTTTATTTAGTAGATTATTATTATTTTTTCTTTCAAATGTTTGGTTAATAGAATTGAATTTATGAGACTTCTAAATTGAAATGTTTCTGGGTTTATGGGTTCTTGAAAACTTGTCTTTGAAAGTTAGTTATTTTG